CTGAGGATATGGTGAGGGCATTCCAGCCCGTTTGTCTCAGTCAGGCCAAAGCCTGGTATGATTTACCTAGCAACATGATAAAACTAATCTGCATACTTTCTTAAGCCAAATTAGTTAACTTTTATAAAGATCATGAGTGTAAGTAGGGAATAGCGGAACAGGGTTCAGGAAATGCCCTCTCTTACCTCTGAAGACAAAGCCATGGTTGGGAGGCCCTGCTGGTTAGAGGTTGCAGTCTACCATGGCCTGGCAGCTCTCCAAGCTCATCAACTGGGGGACTCTCTCCACCCCCGGTGGGGGGGGCCTTCCTGCACTCTCCATCCTGGGTGGGGGCCTTCCTGCGCTCTACCTGACCTTATCTGGAGAATGTCTCTAGGCCTGGATGCCTGACTTATCTCTAGTGTGACCCTGGACACAGTCCCTGCAGAAGCTTTCCCCATGATGCCCATAAGGAAATTAGACATGAGCTAGGAGCCTCTTGATAGGAACTTGCTGTTTAATGCAAATTAGGTGATACCCCAGCCTCTGTCCCCATCTTTTTATATCCCCTCACTCTGGAATAAAGTTGAGCTGTCTCCCTGAAGCTATCTCCTGGAAGGCTATTTCCACCCGTGTTCAGTCCATACAAAGCTCTTTTTTGCCCCTTCTGCCCCTTTGTCCTTGTGGACTGGTGGCCAGTGGACTGTGAGGGAAAAGAGGATACCACAAGCCATAGCCTCTAAGAAGCCTGGAATGAACTTGTGCTCTACTCTGTTAACAGTGTGCTTTTCATACACAGTGCTCACACTGTTTAAATTATTGGCTTATACTTGATGCCAAGTTCATTGTGTTCCAAGCTATAAGAGTGTAGATAGTGAATTTAAAACATGTAGGGGGTGACTGAAGCCAGTCTAGACCCACTGTTATTTTAAGTCAGGGAAGGGACAAAACCCACACAAAACAGATACACTGAAAACCATATTTCGGGCATTCTACCTTCATTTGCTGTTCCCTAAGACAGCGACGGGTGACTTGAAGGAGGACTCAGCCAGCACAGCTCTGCACTATCATAAGAACTTGGCAGCTTGCAGAAAACTGTCTTAGTCAATGACTTCTGTCTTAGGGTTCTATTGCTGTGAAGAGACACCATGACCATAGCCACTCTTATAAAGGAAAACATTTAACTGGGGCTGGCTTACAGTTTCAGAGGTTTAGTCCATTCTCATCATGACAGGAAGTTGGCAGCATGCAGGCAGACATGATACAGAAGAAGTACCTGAATTCTACATCTGTATCCACAGGAAGCAGGAAAAGAGCCACTGGGCCTAGCTTGGGCATTTGAGGCCCCAGAGCCCACCCCTGGAGACACACGTCCTCTAGCAAGGCCACACTTCCTAATCCCTCTCAGGTAGTGCCACACTCTGATGACCAAGCATTCAAATGTATGAGCCTATGGGGGCCATTCTTATTCAAACCTCCATAGTGCCTGTTACACAGGATGCTATGGGAGGTAGAGCCTGAATTCTGTTGTGTTCATTGGGTTGTAAAACCACTGCCTGTATAACCATCTTCTCGGCTCTGCCATCCACAGCACATGTGACTTGTCTTCTAGGCTCAGCCTGGCTCCACTCCACATATACTGCTGTCCTTGGTGGCTGTCTCATGGTACTGGCATCTCCAAAATTCTGGGGTCTCTGCTGCAATTGAACTGTACCTTTATCAGTAGCCTCTGCTGGGCTCTCCTCAGGGACCCTGCCCCTGCCACATATTGCCAAACCTCAGCTTCTCTCTATGACCCCTGTAATACTAAGACTTCTACTGCAATCGAGGATGCACCTTCACCAATGGCCTCTCCTGGTACCAAGCCACATCTGTTCTCTGTATCCTCCTCATGCCTTGGAGAAGAGACCTGGGAGACTCTTACCCATTACCAAGTTCAGCTGCCAGCACAGGTACAGCCTGGCCCCCTCTGGATCACAGCCTCTGTTTGCTGGCCTTGGTTTAGAGAGACAGAGGCAGAGACAGAAATAGAAACAGAGACAGACAGAGAGGTACACTTGACACAAAATCTTCCAGGAAATGTTTCCTCAGTGTTAGCACACACAGAAGCTGTGTTCTGGAGCAGAGCAAGGTTCTTCCAGATTTTGCCTCAGTGATGCTGGTCTCTTCTTAGTCACAGCTGATTCTTCAGTCCCAGATGACCAGTATCAATTGTCCCAGCAAAGCAGTTTTCATTTTAGTGGTTCTTAATTTAAAAATCACATGGTCATCCCTGATAGGGTCTTTAAGGGCCTCTCAGGCTCCCTCTGAAGCCTCACAAGCCAGGCCTGCTTGTGCGCTTCATCGTCTGCACTGCGCTCAGTGTCAGCTTCCAAGTTCCCACCGCAGCTCATTAAGCTCTGAGCACTCAGAGGCTTTTCCAGTTCTAAATTCCAGAGTCCTTTCACGTCTCTTCCCAGAACACATGTCTGGCCTATCACAAAAATAGCCCACTTTCTGGTACCAATTTCTGTCCCAGTTTCTAATGTAGTGATGAAACACCATGACTAAAAGCAATTCGTGGAGGAAAAGGTTTATTTCAGTTTACATTTCCCCATCATAACCTATCATGAAGGGAAGTCAGGGCAGGAACTCAAGGCAGGAACCCGGAAGCAGGAGCTGATGCAGAGACCATGGAGGAATACTGCTTATTGGTTTGCCTTCCATAGCTTCTCAGATTTCTTTCTTACAACCTAGGACCACTGGTAAATAAAAGGAAGAGCAACACCCATGATGGCCTGAGACCTCCCATATCAGCCACTAATGTAAAAATGCCCTACAGGCTTGCTACAAGCCAGTATTTTTTCTTTTACTTTTGAGATTATAATTACATCATTTCTCCCTTCCCTCTCCTCCCTAGGAACCCTCACAATACCCCTCCTTGCTTTCTCAAACTCATACTTTCTTTCAGTCTCATAGCAAACTCCTGATCTCTGGCACTTACAATCTTTCTGCTCCCAGGCCAGTCTTATGAAAGAATTTTCTCAGGTCTGATACTTTCTTCTAAAGTAATGCTATCTTGTGTCAAGTTGAAAAAAAAGAAACAAACCCAGGAGCAAGTATTAGGCCTTATAAGCATAGGTATGTTCTTGAATGTGAGAAATTTGTAAATTACATGTATCTATAATTTTATATTAGGGTCTATCTAATTTTTTTTTTATCCTAACAAAGGATAAAGTACTTATCACTCTGGAGAATGGACTCTATGCACAGGATCTTCCAATGAGTCTACAAAGCCAAGGCACACAAAAAATTCAACATTTTATTCATACCTTTTATTGTGTGTGTGTGTGTGTGTGTGTGTGTGTGTGTGTGTGTGTGTGTGTGTAGACAAGTACCTGTGCATCTGCCTGTAGAGGCTGGAGGTTTTAATGTCAAGAATCTTCCTTGATTGTTCTGCCGTTGTATTTTTTGAGGCAGGGTCTCTCAGTTAACCCCCAGAGCTCGCTGGTAGGGCTAGTCTCACTAGCCGGCTTCTGGGCATTCCACCTCTGCATTCTAAGGCTGGTGTTACAGGTGGATGGCCACATCCACCTGTCATTTAGTGAGTTCTGGGAATCTGGAGTCCAGTCCTCTGAGCCATCTCCCCAGATCTATCTTCCATCCTCTTGCTTTCTCTTCTACCTCACTTTACCACTGGAGCCTTTGTGGACTTGTATAGGGAAAAGTTCACTTATAAATTAGGTCATGTGGGCTTGGAGACATTGGTTAGGCACAAGCATGGGACATGGGACAGCAGAGTAAATAACAACAGAACAACTGACTGATTGGCCTTGACAAGAGATATGCCACAGAAATCAGAGATTTAAAAAAACAACAACTCAAGATTTAACCCAAATGAAAATGCCCACCCCCGTGATCCAGGAGCACTGTGCACGCAGGTGTTTGCTCCCAACTTCCTAGGAAGCACTGTCTTTTTACTTTGATGTTTCCTGTGTGATATATGCTAGCCCTTAAAAAGGGATTTGGAAGAGAGCATTAGATGAACACCTTATTAAAACAGCAGTAAAAAGAGTTCGGTTTTCTTCTTTCTCCTACTCTGAGATGAGAAGGCACATTTGCCCTGTGTTAGTGTTACAGATCTGTGGTCAGGAAGCTCAGGACAGCTGGTCTCAGTCCAGCTTAAACTGTCAAAGATTCTTCTCAGACTGTTAAAAACAAGCAAGCAACTTCTGTCACCTTGGGTTGGTTTTTTTTTTTTTTTTTTTTTTTAATGGTTTTCTTTTTTTTTGTGATATATATTTTTTATTTTACAATACCATTCAGTTCTACATATCAGTGTTGAAGTATGAGCATGTGAGTGGGTGCTGGTGGGGGCCAGAGGTGGCAGGTACCCCTGGACCTGCAGTCACAGGCAGTTGTGAACCGCTTTCTATAAACTTGGTCCTCTGCAAGAGGAGTGTGTGCTTTTAACCACTGAGCCATTTCTCAGGTCCCATGATGGACATTGTCATTGTCAGTGAATGGCCTCCACAAAAACCTAGGGATGTACTGTGTTTTTTGTTTTTATCAACCTATGCAGCAATGGGCACTGTATGCATTCACACACTGCATGACTGCTTCCATGCTGCTGTGCCCAGCCTCCTTTGTAGAAGTTGCATGATGGCTCCCATGCTGCTGCGTCCAGCCTCCCCTGTTTGTGGAAGTCAGCACTAGACCCGGAAGGCAGAGGCTCACCACTCCCATTGATCCTGGAGACAAAAGCCCTTGGCACCTTCTAAATCTGTCAAATTAACATCTATGCATACAGCTGCCCTAGTTGGTGTTTTGGGTGGAGTGAGTATATCAGTTCTCCAAGTGAAAATGGCCATACAAATTTAGGGTCACATTTTGAGTTAATCTCAGTAGTTACCTAGGACCCTGGGACTTATAAGTTACCTTATGACTGACTGGCCTTCGTCTTTGTCACAAACAATTTGAGGATAATTAATACCTACCCTGAAGAGTTGTGAGATTAAAGAAAGTAAGACACTTTTAAACTCTGGTCTGAAAAAAAAATGTCATTTTTATTGCTCACAGGTATGTATATAAAAAGCATGACTAATTTTGTGTGGTGTCTTTCCTTAACTATCTATTGAAAATCCATCAACCTCAAATTCCCTTCAAACCCTGGAGATCTCTTGGTAAAACCTCCCACACTATACTTGGCTGAAGGGAGCACTTGAGGTTTAAGGTTAAGGAAGGGCTGGGCAGAGTTGGGGCACTTTAGAATCCACCAGCCAGCTGTATGTATGTGAAGAGATAGCTGAGCACTATAAACTGCTGCTTCCAGACAGCAGTTCAACATGGAAGACATGGAGGGAGGCTAGAAAGATGAAAATCCAGTGAGTAAGTACTTGACATTTCTTTGTGCCATTCTGAAACCAGGCAGTTTGGGCCCAACAGTTCTGTCGGCACACACCCCCATCCCCTTCATGCATCTAAGTGCTTTAACAATGAGCCTCCAGGTCCCATCCAGCTGCCCTGGACACGAAGGCTGAGGCCACAGCTCTCGGCTCATCAAGATGACTTCATGCTCTGCAGAAGAGGTAGCGGTCAGAGACAGACGTGGCTCTGTTCCTCGCAGGTGGTGGCCTCCCCAGCCGTAGACAGGTACAGCTTCCCATCAGGACACACACAAATCTCAAAGGACCCCGTAGAGCTGCCAGAGGGACCTGGTGTCCCCTGCTTCAGCTTGGGCAAAGCCACAGTTTCAGCATCAAGCACCAGCTGTTTGGGAGAAAGTGAGACATGAGGAAGGAGGAACAGACCTCACCAAGGGAAATTCCCAGCGTATTCTAAGAAAGATAGTTTCCTCCCGTTGAAAGCAGGCTGGGTACCGAGCAGCTGGGTCCTGCCTGTACTTGAGTCCTCTCAAAATGACCTCTTCATTCTTTGTGCAGGCTGGGCTGACATGCTCCTCCAATGTGGAGAGAGGCCATATTTTCTTCTACTTCCCAGCTGGGAAAACTGACGGGTTGTTTTACAATTGGTTCAGCAAACTACATTGATTTTCAATTCTGGGTCGCTTCCCTCCTGTTGTGGAATATAATTGAAGATATACTCGTTGATGTTGTGGAATAATTGTTTAATGATGCAAAGATGTGTTGCATTCTTGTATGTTGCATAACTCTGTAAAGCTGTGATACTATGTCTAAAACACCTGATGGTCTAATAAAGAGCTGAATGGCCAATAGCTGGGCAGGAGAAAGGATGTGCAGGGCTGGCAGATGAAGAGAATAAATAAGAGGAGAAATCTGGGAAGAGAAGATGAGGAGTGAGAGGAGGAGGAGGAGGAGGAGGAGGACATTAGAGGCCAGCCACCCAGCTATATAGCCAGTCACAGAGTAAGAAGTAAAGAAAGGTATATAGAATAGATAAAGATAAAAGCCCAGAACCAAAAGGCAGGTGGGATAATTTAAGAAAAGCTGGCTAGAAACAAGCCAAATTAAGGCCGGGCATTCATAAGTAAGAATAAGATTCCATGTATTTATTTGGGAGCTGGGTGGAGGGCCCCCAAGAGCAAAGAGTAAAAACAACCAACTACAACCAACTCCTTAAAAAAAAATGGCTTTTGAACTTATCTGACAAAACTGACAGAATTGTTATACTAATTCATACTGTGATCTCATGGAGCTTATGCTAAATCGTCTCCTTCCCATTGGGATAACAAACAGTCCACAGAAATGGGATCATCTTTATTTTTGCTTGTGGATGTCCGACTTTATCCTGACTTTATCTGTGAGTTGTTCTCCTAGGAGAGACCACTGGATTCACCTTACTAGCTGTCAACCATTTCCCTAAACTCTTACCATTGTTTGAAACCTTTCTGTCTTCTACCAAGTGCTGAATGCAGTAGACCTGAAGACTGAAGCCAGGGCAAGCACCATGGAAACCACCGGGTTCGTTAAATAGGAGCCTAAGAAAGAGCCATTGATGGGGCAGGGGAACCACTCTGCTGAGGACATGAGAACAGTCGCCCTGAGCAGCTTGCCCCTTCCTCCCCACACTCACTTGTTAAAAAGAAGTTTCAGGGCTTTGTAGGTTGGCATAGTGTCTTCATTGTCAGCCAGCTTAGCGCTCTCTTTGATTCCTATAGCTCTCGTCCATGAATTCCCGTCTCCTAATGGGCTGTCAGAGCACTGCTAGCTGCATGATAGACGCCTTGCACTGTGTGGCCTTGCAGAACAGCAGAGCAGAGGCATCCCAGCGGCCACCGGGCCATGCCAGGGGATCTTGGAGGGCTTGCTCTTCCCGGGAGGCCGTTATCCCGGCCTCTCTGCCCTCTCCTGTCTTGTAGTTAGGAGGTTAATTTGTCCAGTTGTTTCTTTTCCTCCACTGACAGCCCACACTGTTTCTCTGTTTGCCATGTTAGGCTGCAGTCCAGACATCTGTCCTCCCTCTGTCCGGCTCCTACTCATGGGGAACAGCAACTGGAATTAGCAGTCCCACTGTGTGCTGCCTGCAAAAAATGCTGCCTGATTCACAGAAGGAAATATGACCATTTAAAAACTGAACCTTGCCGGGCGGTGGTGGCGCACGCCTTTAATCCCAGCACTCGGGAGGCAGAGGCAG